ATGAGATGATGATGTGATGTTCCTATGTTGTGTGTGTATATATATATATATATATATATATATATGCTATTATTTTGAATGTTTAAATTATAAGAAATTATATTTATTATTGTTATCTCAATTTTATAATTAACCACTTTTATAAATTAGGAAAAAACATTACAATAAAAAATAGGTTTTAGAGACCGACTTTCAGTTTCTAAATTAATAAATTGTGTTAAAGACTGATTTTGATACGGATTTATGTATTAGATAAATCCATTTTAAAAGTCCAAATAAGAGATTGAGAAACCAATTTTTTTTAGACACATTTTTGAGAGAGTGACAACTGATATTAAAAAGAATATTTTCATAACTGTTTTTTTTAGTAACATTTTATAACTACTGATTTTGTACTGATTGTAAAACAATTGATTTAAAATCACATTATTTAGTGACCAATCTATAAAAATGGATTTTAAAGACAAATGTAACAAATCAATCTCAAATTATATTTAAATTATAAACTAAAAAATAATTTAGTTTTATTACATCTTATATTAAAATATTGATGTGAAAAGTACGTTAGTTGTAAATAACGGGAAAATTTAATTATTTATGAATATTAAATTGATGTTAAATTTTGTATTTTTAAAATAAAAATAAAAATATATTTTTTAATAAAAATTAAAATTACATTAAAATAGATGAAGAATGCAATTTAACCCAAAATGTTGGCAATGACATTGGTGAGCACGTGCTCAATGATAACTAGAGGTCTATGGGTCTATATGACTTTGGTCCCTTCGCGAGTCAAGGAAGGCGGGCTCATCCATTGCCATTTGCCAGCTACTCATGATGACCCACACTTTTTTCTTTTTTCTTTTTTCCTTTCTTCGATTTAAACATGTCCCCCAACGTTAAACGGTTAAAGTGTTAAATAAGTTATTAACTCTTATTTAAATGTGAAATTACGAAAAGTACTTGTTTTTCACTATTCAATTATGGCATGAGAGATTCAGAGGACCACCATAAGGCATTTAATACTGGCATCAGAGGACCACGATAAGCCGTGGCACTGCTCGTTCAGTACCACACCCATTTGTACTCTGGCGGTTTCTTGATGCCACGGAGAACGGGATTCTTCTCACCCTCCCATCCACCTCTTCATACTTCAATGGATGAAAACAGCAAAAATGCACTTCTCAAACTGGGTCTTTGTGAGAGAAAAAAAAAAATTAAAAAAAAATTGAGATGCATGCAAATAAAAACAGTAAGCAGTCCAACGCATGAGGCAGTGGCAGAGGCACACAGGCTTGACTTCGCAGTCCTTTCTTGGGTACTGTTCCCGTTTTAAACTCAAAGAAACGTTTATTTATGAAGATAAAAAATTAATATTTATTACCTTTTCTATTTTGTTTATTTCAATCATGTAATTATCTAAGTGTAATATTTAATAAAAAAAGTTCTGTGCATGGACCCATCAATACTGTATTAAATTAGTGTTTCTTTCCACACGTCTCTTTCTATCTTTTCGGCTTTTCCAATCTTGGTAATTGGTATTGTTATGTTTCTCAGACAAATTGCAAATTTCAATCCGAGTTTGCAAGGTATCCATAATCAACTGAAATTATGGAAGCATCCAAACAAGTGGATACAATTACATTCTGTGATCAATCATATTTGGATTGGTAAATGAACATCAAATATAATTCTTTAACACCAATTCAATCTTTATAAAAATAAAATGGTATTTCCCGTATGCGATTTTAAACGACCTGATCCAACCCTTCAAACCAAACAAAGTTGCTCTGCCTCAACGATGAACCCAAAAAAAAAAAGTCTCTCACTCTGGAAGAAAAGTACACGTATAAGAGAAAATGAAATAAATACATCAACTTTTATAATAAAAAAAACTCAGTTGAATTATTTTTACATTCTTATCATTAAATTCCAAATTGAATAATAAGAATAAATATAGTATGTACAGATTGCATGTATGATAATTATATTTTTTTTTTACATTTTAACAAGTAATATTAATGATAATTTACAATAAGTTAAAATATACTTTTTTTTTCCTTATAGTACAAAGAAATTAAATCAAATAATGACAAGTGATTTTTTATTATATTAAATAATTTTCATTCAATATGTGTAGGGATGAGCATAGTCCATCCTTGCTAGTTAATCCGAAGTTGAAATTAATTTGTATGAACTTGAATTTTGAAATTGAATTCGATACTATTTAAGATAAATTTAGAATACATTTGGGCTGGTTTAATATATAATATTTTCTTAAAATATAGAGATTGTGTTGAATTTTTGTGTATTAATAATGAAGATTTATTTAGTTAATAGTATATAGTAAAAAAAAAGAAAGAAAAGAAAAACGTTCATTTAATTTATATAATAATATTATTTTGTAAGTTACTACGAAGCAAGTGTAACACTAACAGCATAGCTGGTCTCTTTCTCTGGGTAAAAGACTGAATGCAGGAAGAGGCTGGTGGTGGCGATTGAAGAAGGCAGAGCAAAATGCGGGGTTATGTTCCCGTGTTGCTGGCGTTAGCCACCGTGGTGGCGTGCGGCGGTTTGGCGGGGACTATTCTTCCTCTGGAACGAGCCATTCCTCTGAACCAAAGAGTGGAACTGGAGGCGCTCAGAGCTCGCGACAGAGCACGCCACGCTCGAATCTTGCAAGCCGTGCCTGCTGGCGTTATTGACTTCTCCGTCCAAGGAACCTCCGATCCTTACTCCGTTGGGTACGGGTAATTCTTTTTTTTTTTTTTTTTCTTTCTAATTGCTTTTTTTTTTTTTAATCTTCCATTTTTGTTGCGCATTTGCTGCTTGCCCTAATTGCAAGAACAATAAAGAGAGAGAAAGAGGAATAGCCACAATAGGCAGAGTATTTATTTGTGATCATGATATGTCTTAAGATAATACTAACGACTGAGAAGCTAGAACTTAGAAGTAGCATATAGCATATAGTCATATACTCTTTGAGCTTGAGGTTAATCTTGAATTTCTTGTGCAGGTTGTATTTCACGAAAGTGAAGTTGGGATCTCCTGCAAAAGAGTTTAACGTTCAGATTGATACGGGAAGTGACATCTTGTGGCTAAATTGCATTACTTGCAGTAATTGCCCGCAATCTAGTGGGTTGGGGGTGAGAATTTGATGCTTTTACTTGTTGGCATTTAATTTAACATTTTTATTTTTATTTTTGTATTGAGAGTATGATGCTTTGGTGTTATGTTATGCACTCCACAGATTCAGCTCAATTTCTTTGACACAGCTGGCTCATCCACTGCTGCACTTGTTTCCTGTGAAGACCCGGTGTGTTCTTATGCGGCTCAACTTCAAACTGCAACAAGTGAATGCTCTTCTCAGGCTAATCAGTGCAGCTACACTTTTCAGTATGGGGATGGAAGTGGGACAACTGGTTATTATGTTTCTGATACAATGTATTTTGACATGATCCTGGGACAGAATTTGTTTTCTAACTCTTCACCTGGCATTGTCTTTGGGTGAGTCCTTATGCTTTCATGTAGTTGTGTGGGGTTGGGAACATATGAAGACCCGAGTTGGATCACCGGGTCAGAGAGGGGCCTAGTTTTTCTGGTGAAGGTTATATTCTGAGTTTCATTAGTCGAAAATCTTGTGATATTATAATATTGTAGATCAAACTAACAGTAATTGCACAAGTATTAAGGCAAATCTTGTCAGAAGATGATTTTTATTAATGGAGAAAAGGTAACATAGTATGGGCTGTTAATCTTGAGGTTGTTCACTATTTTACCTATTCTTTCTTTCTGTTGTGGTAGTTTGCTCATTTACTCTCTTGTTTATGTTAATATGGATATTTATTTTAAATGAACTCTTTTGGATGGTTGTTTTGGCAACAGGTGTAGCACCTATCAGTCTGGGGATTTGACCAAGACAGATAAAGCAGTTGATGGAATTTTTGGGTTTGGCCCCGGTGCTCTATCTGTTATATCACAATTGTCATCACGGGGAGTAACACCCAAAGTATTCTCTCATTGCTTAAAAGGAGAAGAAAATGGAGGAGGCGTACTAGTTTTTGGTGAAATTTTGGAGCCAAGTATTGTTTATAGTCCACTTGTCCCATCACAGTATGTTCTCTCTTCTGCTCACTCTTT